TATTTCTTTTGACTTGGCAATATTTTGTTCTTGTTCTAAAAACATTAATCAACAACAATAACATACAACAACAATTATCAACAAGAACAAAACATTTATCAATGTTTTCAGAACAAGCACAAATCATTTCTAAGCTACAAGAAGCTTCTTTCTTGTGACTTACCAATGTTTTGTTCTTGTTCTGAAAACATTAATCAACAACAACGTACAACAACATTTATCGACAAAATAACAACATACAACAAAATAAAAAGAAGGTTCAAGAACGCAAGATATAATAATAAAAAACAACAACAAATTATGAAGTTCTAGGAATATTAATCAACAACAACAACAACATACAACAACACAAAATATTATGTAATGTTTCAAGAACGCATCTTTTTAAAACTAATTGTGGATCTGGAACAAATTATGAAGTTCATCTAGTTTATGAAGCTATGAAGAAGAAATACAAGGTGAATGAAGTTTGCACAATAGCTGCATACTTTTTTATTTTTCTTCTTAGCTAAACAAGCCATATGTATCCTAGCTAGGGCTGGAAATGAACCGAACCAACTCGAAAATAGTTCGGAATTCAATTCGACAATTAAATCATTGAACTAGGTTCATGAATCAAATGAGTTGAGTATGAGCGAAAAATTAAGTTCGTTAACTAAATGAGCTGAACTTGAACTATACATAGTTCGACTCGTTAGGTTCATGAGTCAACTCGATTACATATCAGAAGAATTATACTGTCTTTAAGATTAGGTTTAAATATTTACTCCAAATCTTAGACAAATTTAATCTTCAATTTAGTAGTTTTTGAATTAGACTCTCAAATGTATCTCTTGAAAGTTGTGTAGGTTTTGAATTAGTAGATTTCGAAGATTTAAATTTCAATATGATAACTTTTATTTTATTTTAATATTTTATTTAAAATATATATATTTATTTAAAATGTCAAATATACTAAAAACATAAATATTTAAAAAAAAATAGTTTTTAAGTCCGTGAATCATGTGAGCTGAACCTAATGAGATGAACCTAACGAGTTGAACCGAACTATTCGTGAACTTATAACGAGTCGAGTTTGAGCTTAAAAAAAAGTTCGTGTTAAACTCGAACTCGAATAATTCTTAACGAGTCGAGCCGAGCTGAGGTGAGTTCGACTCGACTCATTTCCAGCCCTAATCCTAGCCAAAGTATGTGCTTTGTTAAGGTGGTGAAGATGAATCTGGAAAAATGAGAACCCATTTTTAACAAGAAATGTAAAGGAAATTGAAGCATAAGTTTAATGAACGAATCTCAAGTTAGCAATTGTTGAAGACAAATCTGAAGCTTGAAGTATATTTAAAGAGTGATATGGATGTTAGGGTTATTTTATGAGAGAGAATAGTGAAATATGTTAGGATTTTCTTTTGAGAGAAACGCTTGTTATATACTGAACAATAGATAATTTTGCTTATATACTAAAAAATATCACTTTTCATCACGGTTAGAAAGAAAAACCGCGATGCAATTTTTAAATTTTACAACGCCTGTGTTGTAAAACCGTGGTTAAATAACTTTCAATATTTTATTTATTTATAAATGCAATAGTGAGAGAGTTATTAATTGTTATTATTGTTATTCTTCATTACTATTGTTATTATTGTTGTTATTTCTGTTGGCTCGTACTATTTTTTTGTAAAGAGGAAAGAGTATATAAAGGCAAGAGTATATAAAACAATACTAATAAATAATTTCATTAAGAGGCACAAAAGGGAAGAGTATATAAAACATAATTTTTTTATTACATAATTTTGTCAAGATCGGAACAATATCCCTTAGTACTAAAGTAATTTTCATAATCTATGACTCGTTTCTCACTACCCTCATCATTATAGTCGTCTCTCTCTTTTGAGAAGAGTGTTTCTTTCTTTTAGGAAGAAAAAAGGTTGTACGGATCATATTACAACGGTTGAATATTAAAACTCTGATTAAATAATTTCCAATTATTTATTTATTTATGAAATTAAGTGACACACGCTTTTTGTAATAGGAAAAATGAAAAAATATAGTTGTCAGGATTCGAATCTTGTACCACTCATTTTATCACCACGATTGTTTATATCAACTGTGATTAAATAACTTTAAAAAAAAAGCATTAGGTGCTTCCAGTTTGCGATATTACAACGGTGGAAGGCAATCGTAGTAGTATTATGTTATCGAAGGTGTATTTTGTAGTAGTCTGGTTACAACACTTGAATTATTGGTTTTTCATAACAGAGAGAATGGTTGCTTAAGGGGTTTTTAAAATCAAGGAATTGAATTCATCTCTCCTGGATAAATGGTGTTAGACAAAGTTGTCAAACTTGAGTTTTTGCGTCAACTCATTTTATCTAGGTGAATCAACTCGATGGGGGCTCCATTTACTCCCACACATGTAAGGTATAGGGGTGGAACGCCTATTCCCACTCAAGTCTACTTAAGAGCTATTACATATTTGACATTTCATCTCGACGGTTGGATATGATCTTTGATCTTCAGATGAATCTGGGTCATTGAACTTGGTGCATTTTGTGTCTATAACTTTGGGAACTTGAGCTTCAAAGCCATATTCAACTTCTTCTTTATTCTTGAGGGTTGCCATAGCAAGTGTTTTACTTGCGAGTTCTTTGGTTGGTTTTAAAATTTTATGGATTTTAGATTCTGTTGCTCGAATCAAGTTACACTCCTCTCGACACTTTAGAAATTTGTATTTAGAAACATAATATACTTTCTTTCTCCCCCCCCTTTGGTCATCTCTAATTTTTGCTAGTTCTCAAAAATGGAATAATTAGGGAACCCATATTTAGGTATCCCTGATGTTGACCTTAGTAGTGACATGGAGATTAGTGAATTGGAGAGGAGATTTGTGACCATGATGATGATGATGATACCTCTCTGATAACTCTTGCACTCTTGATGGTTGTGAGATACTGTCGACAACAACATTCTTATGAGCAGTTACAGAGTGACCTTGTTGCAACACCTCTTGTTGAGGTTGCTATCTAAGTTGGAATTTTTTGTTGATTTTCTTTGACGCGAAGAAGCCTCACATGCTACTATAAATAGTTGAAATGGTAAAAATGAGTTAGTTTGCATTTGGTACTCTTATCGAAGCTTATAAATATTGAAATCCATGTGATGGTGGCAGAACCGAAGATTGATAGGGAGATAATGTTGAAACCCAGTAATTGGTTGAGAATCTTGAATAATTGAGTTAGGAATTACGATTGGTTGAGGAATTGTGACCGGGTGAGGAATTTCAATCAAAGCATGTAGATTTTGGTGGTTGAAGAAGTTCCTTGTGGGTTATAGCGAAAACTGGTGAACTATTATCTTGAAGAATGTGAATTGTTGATCAAACATCGATAGTGATATTGCGACTGTGAGTTGCTTTTGAACCGGCCATCGGAAGAGGTGGCAAAAAATGTGTTTATGAAACAGTTAAGCTTGTTGGGACAGTAAAATAAAACGGTTGTGGAGGCACAACGATGGAGGTCGAAGAAATTTGGTGGATAGTTCAAATGAATTAGAAGACGATTCTCACATATGGCACCACTTTTTCGTGTTGGAACATAATTAGATGAGAGATTGAAGATGGCCATTGTGGCAAAGCTTTTGATATTGTGGTCATGGTCTCCTATGATCGTAAGGGGTACCTACAAAAAGTTGGCACTTAAACGCTTAAGTCAATATTTAAAAGATGTAAAACTTACAAGTTTGAACGAAAGTAGTATCTAGGTGTGACACAAAGTCACACTTATATAAATTGCACAGTTAGGACCATTCTTGTTCGATGTAGAGTGCGGATGGTCGTTGGATGTAATAAACAGTTGAGATGAGATGTAGATTGTCCTCTTATCCAATGTCAAGAAGTGAAGGTCCACATGTGGTCATTGAATGAAGCATCATTTGTTGGATTTAACATATAAGTTGAGTTAGTTTTGATGGATCTTTGGCCAACTCAGAACAAAATATATCTAAAATTTTTGTAGTTAGCCTTATATTCACCTATCTCAAAATAAATTGAAATTTTTTCTAAAAATAAGTCACTTTAATATTCAATAAATTATTTATTTTTATCTTTTAATTTGAATTGTACCAATAATTAATAAGAATAATTTACTAAAATTATTGTTTTTTTTTCATTAACACAATTTCTTAATTCCCGCAAAAGTATAAATATGACACGTATATTTTATATAATAGAAATCAACTAAAACATCTAAATATATTCAATATAATGTATTTTCATGTAATTTTCAATTTATCAATTTGCAAATTTTGAAAATGTGATAAACCAAAAACAGCCATGAAATGCATGACTTTAGATCAACTTTATCGTGGCAGAGGTGATTGCTAAAATTTAGGATAATGGAAAAGTTTGTACTCCTTAATTGTTTGACTATAGTTAATGTAATAACGTGCGCCACCAAACAAATGACATTAAATATTTTTAACTCACCATAATTAGTGTGTTTACTTTTTAAATAAATCCCAACTGCAGATTCGATCTTCATTATGAAAAGCAGTAAAACGCGTGACAAGTTCCTAAGTTCGAGACACTGACCACAAAAATTAGCTGCAAATGGAAGAAAAAAATCAAAGAATACAACAAAGTAAGAACAATTAAATTTGTGATGAAATCAATACACAATTTCTTAAGAAAAAGTTTCCACGTGTTATTATTTTTTAAAAATCGTATTAAGTCATTCATGCGAGAAAAATACACACAAAACCTGATTCAATATCGTGGGCATTTTTATTAATAAACACAATCAACAATAATTATTTTACTGATAAACATTACATTATTATTGTGACACTTAAGTAAAACAACAGAAAGAAACAAACAACGTGTGAACCATTACAAGAACACAAAGCCATGTCCTAGAAAAACCAATAACGAAATTCTAACGAGAAACCAACAACAATGACTTTCAAAGGTTGCAATACAATGTATAAGTTTTTTGTGGTAAAGTGGTAGCTTATGGTTTCCAGAGGATGGTAGTGTCTGCAATCATGGAAGTAACAACATATGGGTCCATGTTAGATGCTGGCCTCCTGTCCTCAAAATAACCCTTCCCTTCTTTCTCTGTGTCCCTTCCAACCCTAATCGAAGCCCCGCGGTTTGCAACACCCTTCAAAATAAACCAAACCATGTCAACAATTAGAAGCCAAAGCCAAAATGTGCTTGAGATTTGGCAAAAGAATTATTTTTTCCTTACCCATGAGAAGGTATGAATGTCAGCTGTTTCGTGTTTCCCTGTCAAACGACGCTCGTTGCCTTCTCCATAAGCAGCGATGTGCTCAGGGTGCCTCTTCCCCAGCTTCTCGATGGCTTTCTTGATGATTTCGTATCCACCATCTTCTCTCATAGACTTGGTGCTGTAATTTGTGTGAGCACCAGCACCATTCCAATCACCCTAGTTTTTTTTATCCAAATAACAAAGTCAACATGAACACCAATTCAAGAGACATAAATAAATCAACTGTTAAAGAGTTGAAAATAGCAAACCTTAATTGGTTTAGGGTCAAAGGTAAGAACCACACCAGCAACCTCAGTGATCCTCTATTGGAACAGACACAAAGAAAGTTAGTTGGAGAAGGTAACCTCCATTCAATAGGTCAAAAAGAGGTGTTGGTGAATGGTGAATGGTGACTGGTGAAAACAACACTAATCAATAGTCATGTGCCACCTACCTCCAAAATGTAACGAGCAACCCATATCTCATCACCAGCAGAGATACCAACTGAGGGACCAACTTGGAATTCCCACTACATTAAAAAACAAAACAATAGGTTAAACTCATAAATTCAACAACCACATATGTATAATTAAAATATCAAATGCAAAAATAAGGGCATAATATACTACAAGGGTTGGCCTAGTGGTGGAGGATTGGGTCCTGAGATTGCGCTACAGGTTCGGATCCCGCTAATGGATGGTGGGATCGATCCTCTTAGTTTAATCGGTCGCAAGGCCGGATACCAAGATTTAAAAAAAACTGCATAGTTTTCTCCGACTTACTTGACCAGGCATAACTTCTCCATTGATTCCACTGATGTTGATGCCGGCAAAAAGACAGGCTTTGTAATGTGCCTCAACAATGTCACGGCCAAAAGCCTTGTCAGCACCAACACTACAATAATATGGTCCCTATTGAGCAAAATAATAATATTAGAACTGATGTAACCAATAGCAATAGAAAAATCACCAAAAGACAAGTATAAAGTAGGAATCTTAGATAAAATAAAAAACAGTAATGATGAATGAAAGTGAGGTTTTACCTGAGGTCCAGGATAACCACCAGCTGGCCAACCAAGAGGCCAATTGATGTCTTTCTGCAACAAGGTGTATTCCTGCTCTATACCATACCTAATCACAAATCACACACCAACAATTGATCAGAATAAAATAAATAACTGGCACAATGAGTAAAAATGAACAAAAAGTTACCATGTTTCTTCAGCAACAACATCAGGATGGCTGAAAACCTTGGCAGCTGCGTGTCTTTTGTTAGTAGGAATTGGTTCTCCAGCAGGAGTGTATGCATCACACATAACCTAAATTCAATTAAATCAACAATAAATAAAGTTAAATTAAATGGCATAAACTAAACAAAAGCATTCATGATTCAGTGAAAAAAATTATAAAAAATACTTACCAAGATATGGTTACCCCTTCTGAATGGATCCTTAAAAATGGCTTGTGGGCTGTTTTTAATCAAATCCCAAATAAGTAAGTTTCAAAAAATCCAAGAAAACATTGAACAAAATTTTAAAATAATTTAGACAATGGTGGTAAAAATTAAAAAATAAATAGGAGTTAAAGAAAAACATACTATAAAATAACTTCACTATCTTCTCCAGGAGCTTGTCCTGTGCTGGAACCATCATAGTTCCATTTGGGGAGCTTTGAAGGGTCAGTAACTGGTCCTGGAAGAGTCTGTAAAAACAGAAAGAAAAAAAATCATTTCATCTTTCAATAATTAAAATAAAAAGAAAAAGAAAAAAAATATATTTTCTTTTTTAGATAGCTAAAAGTAGAAATAAATTACCCTTGCTTTGCACCTCAAGTCCAAACCAGAACCACCAATCCTGTCATAATGAAAATAAAATTGTTAGGAAATTTTTTTAATTTTGATATTAAAAAAATCATTTTCTACGCAATAATAATTTAATGTGATAATTTGGTAGTGGCGTAGTGAATATAGTTAATGATGCGTTTGAATTTGTATAAACAGCTAAACAAAGCAACAAACAAACAGACAAATGAAAGAAAAAATGTCTTCCTCTTTCTTTCCAATTTAATCACAGACAAAAAAACCGGTAATTTTTCAGAATGAAAATATACTAAAATTAAACTGAATCACCAAAAAAACATCATAGATTATAGATCACACAAAGAACAATGAATCACGTTCATGACGTAAATTAATGCACGGACAGAAACAGAAACAACAGACAAAAAAAACTAGTATTGAGTAGTGTTTTTCGTACGTATGGAAGAAGCAAAAGCAACATCTTGAGAGTGTGTTTTATTACATGCGTTTGTTAATTTGCGTGTGAAAGAAAGAAGAAAAAAATAGAAAGAGGGAAGGAAGTGAGTAACGAACCATATGTATTCAGCGATGATTTTCTCGGTGGTTTCTGAGAGATCAAGGTTGATGAGATCTGAAAGAAGAGACATGGTTTTGAAAAAGTGAAGAAAAAACTTGAAATGGAATCACTGTTAATCGTCGGAGGATGAATCCTCAGATTCGATGCGGTTGGATTCGTTTGAACAGAGAAATGAGGAGATATGTGGTTTTATTTATAGCTGGTTTTCTTGTTCCTAGTCGTCTTTCAATAGTCTACTCTAATTTTTTTATAATATTTTTATTTTTTATTAGGAGTAGTAATCACGATTAATTAACAATACTATTATTAACAATACTATTAAGAACACCAAAAACATCGTTTTTAAAATTGGTTTGCCAACTTAGCATTGAAATTGTCAACAAAAAGTTGTTCCAGCTGGTGAACGTTACAAACATAAACAATAAACAATGGTTCTTCATTTTTTTTTATTATTAAAATAATCATTTAGCAGTTGTGCAACGACTTTATTTATTTATTTTTAACTTTTTTTATTTATTATAAATATAGGTTTGTTGAAAAAATTGTATATCAATCTTATTTTCTATCACTTTTATTTACTCTTTAATTTTAATTATTATTTTCAATTTTATGTTTAATTTTAATTTTATGTTTAATTTATATTTATATTAATTAAAATTTAAATATTTAAATTATAATTTTAAATAAAATAAATTTAATATAAATAATATATTTTAAGTAAAGTGGTGGGACTCAATATGAGTTCTTTGGAATTACATCATTGGAGTGAAAATTAAATGAATTGCTTTAAAAGAGTGGGTCCCATAAAAAACCTAAAAATGGGTTGCACCATTGAAGGTGTTTAAGGTTAAAAATCTCAAAAATTACCATTTTTAAAATGAAATTTTACAACTACACTCTCTCCCATAATGATGTTTGTAAAAATAATTGGTTTTTTTTTATATTTTTAATAATATTAAATTATTTATATTAATTTTATAACAATTAAAATATATTAATAGGTGATATAAATAATTGAGTACAATTAAAAAATATATTATTATACTTATGCAATATAAAAAACTATAATTTTTTGTAAACATTAGTTACACTTAATTAACTTTTTATTAATAAGTAAAGTTTTTTTTTTTTTTAATTATAGTAGGAGAAAGTATGAAATAGTTAAGTGAAATAATATTGAGACAAAAGACTAACTTTTTTATGATTACAAAGTGGAAAATATTTAAATGGTTTTTTCATTGATGAAAACAATAACATTGGATTGCATTGAATAAAATGACAGCTAAGAAATCCCTTGGTGGAGCACCTTCTATTTTGGTAGGATTCTTAAAATGTATTCAAGGATAAGATAATATTCAAGGATAAGAAAAATGGGATAGAATAAATTATTTTAGTATACCATGTATTGAACTCTTTCTGTTTTGAGGTTGGAATTGTTTTGGATTTTAATTATCTATATTTTTAAAAAATTAGTGTTTTTATTTTTAGATTTTTTATATTAATTTCTGTTTGTTTAATATCATAAAAAAAATTTAAAGCTCATAAATTTAAGTTGTTGCTTAATTTTTTTTTTGAAAAGGCTATTAGAGTTATATTTTTTATTTTAAGGTTAAAATTATTTTTTTAACAAAATGATTTTCTTTAAATCTTAAACAAATACTACTAAAATGAAGGAAAAAAAGATTTTTAATTTAAAAAAATATATTATCCTTAAAAATATTTATAACAAACACACCATTAAAGACTTTAGGTCTATTGATGGTTGTAGGACTGTTTATAAGATCATCTCCAAGGTACTCACAATCAGGCTGGCCAGAGTTATTGGTAGTATTTTGGGTCCTAGCCGGACTGCCTTCATTCTTTGTCAGTAAATTCACAACCATATCCTACTTGCCTATGAGTTGATTAAAGACTATTCTAAGAAAATGGACACCCCCAGATGTATGGTTCAGTTGGACTTGTAAAAAGCACATGACATGCTTGCCTAATTTATTAGGTGGATAATGTTGGTTGTCACCAATGTTTCCTATAGGTTTAACATCAATGACTCTAACACTTCGGTGATGCAGGCTAGAAGGGGGTTTAGGCAAGGGGACCCCTTGTCACCCTTACTCTTTGTTATCCTCATGGAGTATATGAATATACTCTTGTTCAGAATGCAAACTAATCCTGATTTTAACCACCATTCTAAATGTGAAAATTTGAGTATTACTGATTTGGCATTTGCAGATGATGTTTTGCTATTTTCTAGAGGAGATTATAGGTTTGTGGAGCTCTTGATAGAGACCTTTGGTCAATTCTCCAAGATGACTGGCCTGATTGTTAATCCCATAAAGTGTAAAGTGTACTTTGGTGGAGTAGATAACAACACTAGGGGCAAGATTCTTAGGTTGACCAGGTTTGAGTAGGGAGTCCCTCTAACTAGTAAAAGACTGAATATTTATTATTATATGAGCTCGGTGGATAAAATTGTTGGAAAAATCAGACATTGGAGGAGGAGCCTACTGAGATATGTAGGTAGAATTCAACTCATCTAAATAGTGTCCTTTGTTGTTGCCAATTATTGGTTACAATGATTTCCCCTCCCCAAATTTGTGATCCATAAGATTAATGTTATCCTTAGAACTGTCTTGTGGACTGGTAATTCAGATATTAGTAGAAAAATTCATGTTGCTTGGGATAAAGTTTGTAGTCCAAAGAAGTATAATGGCCTCAACATAATTGAGCTAGATACTTAGAATGATGTAACTATGTTGAAGTTGCTATGGAATCTCTGTAGAAAAGTTGATAACCTATGGGTAAAATGGATGCATAATTATTATATTAAAGGTGTTGCGTTGATGGACATGAACGACAATGTTTGCTACTCGTGAATTATGAGGGAAATCCTCAAGCAAAGAGATAATGTTCAGCATTTGCAAACATTACGGCAGCAACTGCTTCATGGTTCCAGGTTTTGTACTAAACAAGTTTACATGAAGATGAAAAGCATTGGAAAGGACAAAGTTCATTAAAGCCATGTTTTGTATGGTAATCTTGTTAGACCTAGGGCAGTGATTACTCTTTGGATGACTTGTCATGGTAGATTGCCTACTAAGTCGAGAACTAACTGGTTTGGTATGTTGGATAATAGTAGCTGTAATTTTTGCCCTCATGAGGAAACATTATATCACCTATTTTATGGCTGCATTGAAACTAATACAATTTGGAGAAAAATTCAGGACTAGATTTAAATGACTCATGAGCCTCGGGAGTGGAGTGATGAGTTGAATCGAATTATTTCTCATAGTAAGGGAAAAGGATGGAAGGCTGATATCCTTAAATTGGCTGCTGTAGAGATTAAATATGAGGTAGGGCGGTTTCAGAATGACAAGTGCTTTAGTAATAGTGCAGATAACACCAAAATAGTTGATAGTATTATTTATATGATAATGTATAGAAAGTGTTATAGGAAGAGACTTAGACCTCATATGGCAAGGCTTATGGTGTAATATTTTCTCTTTTTGTGAATGTCTTATTCGTTTTGATGGGTTGTGATCTGACCTGATCAGGAAGGGATCACGGACTGGCCACACTCCGTTAGGCTGCTATCTGTTCGCCGGGGTGAGAAAGAGGAGGGGGTGTACCTGCAAAGCACTCCGACGCCCAAGTAAGAAGTTGGACAGAGAGGAAGCAATAGTACAGAAAAGGGGGCAAGAAGAGTTACCTGACCCTCTTGAAGAAGAGGGTATTTATGGAGAGACCCCAGCGCTGGGCCAACGGTCATTCGAGGTGGGCCGGACGACCAGGCCCAACCCTAATGACTGCTAGGGCTTACGTGGCGTAGTGAAGACCAGGACGTGGTCTTCGCCCTAGTTCAACCGCTCCTAGATCTCCGGGAAGTGGGTTTGACCTGCTCTTTCGGAGGTGGGCAGTTGGCCGATGACGTGTCCCCGCGAAGGGGAGCACGTGGAGAACGTGCGCCGAGCACGTTATTCTCCCCGCGGAGGGGAGCCCGGGTGGTTCCGCCCGTCCGGCGTGGTGGACGCCAAAAGAGGATGTGGAGATGTAGCTTGTGCTCGGCGGCCAGCTCCTGCTCGTTCCGAAGGGCGTGTGCCAGGCGTGCTCGGCTCGCTTGTTGGGCCGCATGTGGTATTGGGCCTGCCGAGGAGAGGCCCATACCGGAACAGGAGCCCCCCAAGTCGAAGCTCTGGGGAAGAGCGAGGACTTAAGGTCGTCGTGTCTGGAGCGGGCACTCGCACGAAGGACTCCGGTCGTCGGCAGAACGGGGAGGAGGCAGGTGAAGGGACGCGACTGTCAGGTTGCCGCCACGTGTCTTGTGTTAAGCGGTCGTAGGGGCGACTACCCTATGTCATTAATGAGCCTAGGGTCGCTTCGAGTCCCGCGTCGGGTTATAAATACGGAGGTCCCCGCTCATTCTGTTACTTTTCTCCCTGCTAATCTTTTATCGTCTCTGCTCGTCCGCCGCTTGCCGCCGATCGCCGCCGTACCGTTTGCTTTTTTCTTCCGTCCGCCGCCGTTGCAAGTGAGTTCCTCTTTTCCCTCCCTTTTTATTTTCGTCGTCTAACAAGAACGTGTGGTCGGGCGTGATGAACGCCCCGAGGAGGGACGCGAGTTCCGCCGCGTCTGGCGAGTTTTCTGATGAATGTCCCGGGGACGGTAGGCTAGTTCCGATGAATGCCCCGAGGACGGGAGCTTTTTCTGATGAATGCCCCGAGGACGGGAGCTCTTTCTGATGAATGCCCCGAGGACGGGGGCTTTCTCTGATGAATGCCCCGGGGAGAAGTACCTTCTCCGACGGCCGTCCCGAAAGGGGTGAGGGGTCGTTCTTTGATCCCCGAGGAGGGTAGACGGGGAGCGAGTGTCTGCTCGTCGCTTCTCGGCCTTTGTCGCCCTTTCACTTGACTTGCGGCGGAAGGGTGGATTTGATCCTGGCTATCGAATTCACCAATGTCCTCTGCTTTCAGGTGTAGATGTCGGCTCTGGTGCCGGGGATAATGGTTGAAGATAATGAACCTGAGGTCCCGGAGTATGACGACGAGCGTATCGCCCCGTCCGAGGAGTGGGCGGCCGAGGAGCCACTTTCCATACCCTCTTGCTTTGTGGCCGACTCGTCCGACGTGTACGCCACGGTCGAGGACACGCCGATAGGGGAAACACAACACTGGCAGGTGTACCGGCCAAAAGAGCATCACCGAATCTGTTCGCGATATGGGCGGAAGATGTTCCCGATGTATGAATTTTATTTTAAAGAAGCTCGGCTCCGGTTACTGTTTTCCGCCTTCCATCTGGGGCTTTTTGACTGGCTGCGTCTTGCCCCGTCTCAGCTGCACCCTAACGCTTTGGCTTTCATCCGGGCTTTCGAGGTGGTGTGTTTCTGCCTCTCGGTGGAGCCGACGGTGCCGTTATTTTTCCGCATCTTTCATTTGCAGCGGCAGACGGTGCGAGGTCGCCACAGATGGGTCTCCTTCAAACAATCGACCAAAATTTTCAAAGCGTATAGCGATTCTGTCAAAGACTTCAAAGGTCGGTTCTACCTCGTCAAACCGATCACGCAGCACGGCTCAGACACTCTCTTCGACGAGGGCGAGCGTACGGTAGATGGCCAGCGGTTCCGCGCGTGGCTTCCTAAGATACATCTACTGTGGACTGCGGAGCATTTCAGCCGAGGGACAGATAGGTATATCGTCCGGGCGGGGACCCTCGAGGAGAAGGACATGGCCGCCTATTTGAAAATAATTGCCTTTGTGCGGTCTCTCCCCCCGTCGAAGCTGGTGACGCCCGACGGTCGGTATATCCTCGATGCCCAGGGGAACATACGCACCAAGAAGTGTTTGATAAATACTAAGACTTTGCTCGGTTATGCGACCGGGGCGGCCGCTCTGGATTATCTAGGTAGGGATGTTCGTTTTCCCTCGTGGTCGGGGTTTTTGATCGTCGCTAACCCATTTCTTTGTTTTTGCAGCGAACATGTCTACTGTCGACGAGCGGGTGAAGCAGTTGCGCGCTGCTAGGAATGCCGTGGCCCCGAGGACGAGGGTGAGTCAGCTGGTCGGTCAGGAGGTCGCGACGCAAGGGGGGCAAACTTCGTCCTCGTCGCCTCAAGAGAGCCAATCCCCTGTGTCTCAGGGAGTGTCGAAGAGGCAAAGGTCCGAGGAGCCTCGGGTGGTGGATCTGACGGTCGGCGCCGTCGAGGAAGGTTATGTCGTCCCTCCCTGCCACCAGCATCCGGGATATTTTCATGGTGCCCGTTCCCCCACTGTTTCCGCCGGGGAGGTGAAGGCTGTTCGTCAGGCTGATCGGGAGACCCGTCGACGTGTCCTGGCTGAGGACTTGGCCGCAATGATGCGGACGTTTACGACGGCTCTCGTGCTGAACGAGGAGGGCTGCTCCGCTGCTGAGCTGTCCAAACTGCAAGGGGATCTTACTTTCACGCAGTCGCGGTTGGCCAAGCTCACTGAGGAGTTGGAGAAGAGCCAGAAGGATGTCGCCGAGCAGCGGAAACGGGCAGAGGGTGCTGAGGGGAAGGTGACTTCGCTGGAGGAGAAGCTGGGGACAGCGACGGTCGAGGTGCAGGCGTTGAAGGTTCGCACGGAGGTTTTGGACAGCGCTGTTCGTCCTGCCGAGGACGAGACTGATGGGGATCGGCGGTTAATCACCCGTGCTGACTTGATCGCCCGTATCCGGGTGTTGGAGAGCGATTGTTTGGAGGCCGTTGAGGTCGGGTTCAAGAACGCGGTCGAGCAGATTCAGGTCGCCAACCCTGGTGTCGTGCTGGTCGTGGACGGGATAGGGCCGTACCACGAGATTGTTGATGGGAGGGTGATCGATCCCTATCTTGTTATCCCCGAGGAGGAACCCGTGGCTGCTGACCGGGCGGACGAGGAAGCATAGGTTGCCGGGCCTGCGTGCTCGTTGTTTTTGTGGCCTGCGTGCCGATGTTTGTTATCTTTTTCTTTGGGCCTGCGTGCTCTGTGTTTGTATCATTGACTACTGGGCTGGTGCCCGCTTTTGTTAAATATATTTATCGTGGATTTTCTAAGTGTGCGCTCGTTATTTGCATGTTGTTTTATGCTCGTTTTTCGTATTTGTTTGAATGCCTCTGATGTGTATGACATTTCTTGTAAATTTTCTAAGTGTGCGTTCGGTGTGTTTAGCTCGACAATTTGTTACCGGTAGTGCAGGGAACTGGCCGGTTTGGCCGGGGATGTAGCCGGGCCGTTTCGGGGGTAGTTTTCCCCGGGGCGTGGACGGCCCATCGCGAGCTGGGTGTCCTGCCTGTTTTGGTACGGCGGCGAGGAGCCTCGGTCGAGGTATTCCCTGCCGAGCAAGGCCTTCTGCCCGCGCACACTAGAGGCAGGGCTTGCTTTTCTTTGGTCGCTGGTGGACGTGGGGGTGTGCGGTGGTACCATGTCGCCCCCCCAGTGGTCGGGACGATGGGTCGTCGCAGGCAATGTGTTAACTGTAGTACCGCTTAAGCTTCGCGGCGTTCCACGGTCGAGCTAGTTGTTCACCGTGCAGGTTTTCGAGGTAATAGGCCCCGTGCTCCGTTTTGTCCCGGACTCGGTACGGGCCTTCCCAGTTCGCAGCCAGTTTGCCCTCGTGGGAGTCTTTCTGGTTTCTGCGTAGGACTAAGTCGCCTGTTTGAAAATCGCGTTTTATGACTTTGTTGTTATGGCGAAGTGTGACTTGTTGCTTCAGCCGGGCTTCCCGGAGAGCTGCTCCTGAGCGGATTTCTTCGACGAGGTCGAGCTCTTCTCGGAGGGAGTCGTCGTTGTCGTCGGTGTCCAGGGGAGCTTCCGTTCGTCTGGACGGTTCGCGGATTTCGACCGGTATTACGGCCTCGGTTCCGTATGTGAGGCGAAATGGGGTCTCCCCCGTGGTTGAGTGGGGGGTAGTACGGTATGCCCAGAGGACGCTGTGGAGTTCTTCGACCCATGCTCGTTTGGCGTCTCCGAGGCGTCGTCTGAGTCCTCTGAGTATAACTCTGTTCGCCGACTCTGCCTGGCCGTTTGTCTGAGGATGTTCGACCGAGGCGAAGTGATGTTTGGTCCCGAGTTTGGTGACGAAGTCGCGGAAGTTTTTGTCTGTGAATTGTGTGCCGTTGTCGGTGACGATGGCGAGCGGCACCCCGAATCTGGCGAGGATGTTGCGTTTGTAGAATCGGAGTATATTGTGGGCGGTGATTTTGGCCAGAACTTCAGCCTCGATCCACTTGGTGAAGTAGTCGACTCCCACGATGAGGTACTTGTTCTGGTATGAACCGAGGGGGAAGGGCCCGAGGATGTCCAGCCCCCACCAGGCGAACGGCCACGGAGATGAGACGGGCGTGAGGTCGGTTGGGGGGGGGGCGAGGTGCATGTCTCCGTGTCGTTGACACTTATCACACCGTTTGACATGTTCTTTCGCGTCGGACTGCATTGACGGTCAGTAGTAGCCTGCGCGTAGGGCCTTGCGCGTTAGGGATCTGCCGCCGAGGTGCTGCGCGTTG